CACACCTTTCCCAATTTTAAATCAAACAACTGCTTCTTGGTCCACGTACAGATTTCTCAGAAGTACAATTAAGTGTGATGGTCTGTTCCACAGTCTGCCGCTGGCCTTGTTTTCACTGATGATATGGAGCTTTTCCATCTTCTCTTTCCACAGAAAAGATGGTGGACAGGTTTCAGATGAGCTTCCAGACAAAGACAGACTAAGAAGACAGAGTGATGAACTACTTCTGAATCGCTAGTCACTGAAAACTCTATGAATAGCAGAGAAACATACCAGTATAGCAGTACCAATTTCTGAGATTGAGGAAACCAGGAAGCTTTGCTGGGAGAGCAGAATGGTAAGGATGGGGTGGTATGGTATGGAACTAAGATTCGGCTTCTGCCCAGTTACATTTGGGAAGACTATTAGTGGATACCAAAAAGGCAATCTTGAGCCAAAAGCAATGTCAACCTTGTTGCTGCCTCTGTACCTTCCATAGGGACAGACAATGCTGTATCTGTATAGGGAAGGTCTTACTAAGGGCAGAGAAAAGTTGCTAAACACTTCCTTTTAAAACTCAGAAGCCAATTTCTCCCTTGGATGAGGTTTATTTCCCGACCCATTGGCCTCAGAGTCTAAACCCACAAGGCAAGAACACTCTGGTACTATTAGGACTTATGCCTTTAGTTAATCTGAAAGGAGCTGGATTTCTGATTATAACAGTCTGTCAATCACAATACAACCTTCACAAATCACTGCCACAGGAGTATCTGTTGAAAAGGAATTTGGAGATCACCATGTAGAAGACTCTCATTCTATGTCTGAGTAAACTGAAATCCAGAAATGGTGAGAAAACTGACACTTTACAAATTTCTCCCAAAGTACAAAGGATATTCTGTATTCCTTCAGTTCCTTCAGTTCCTCTTCTCTTCGTTGATTTTCTAGTAGCTCCTGCTGGCGAGAAACCTCATCAAGAAAGTTGGTCTCATCTTCATCTAAGCCTCTTACCATGTTTTCTGAGGAAATAATTAAGCAAGGAATACTTAGCAGACTAGGGGGGAAATATAATCAAGTAAGATTTTTCCTTTTCCTGTGTTTAATAAACAGTAGATCCTTCATGGGATTAGAAGGAAGAACTGGTAAACATCATAGCTTTTGGATATATGAAGGAGCTTCAAAATGTCTGTGGAGAAATTCTATTATCTTTTAATTCCATTCTCCCACAGATTTTTTGAAGTCCCTTTGTATAACATGGCATAAAAGTAAGGCATCTCTCCCCATTATTAGATATTAGCATAGAGTTAAAATGGGTATCTTGAGCTTTAAACAAAAATGTTCAATGTGGTCTAGAAGGCAGAAGGCTGCCTCTTTTCTGTCAAATGGGTAGCTGGAGACTAAAGGATCAAGACAATTCCTCATCAGAAAAGGGCTGCATGAGGCAAAAGTGCAACAAAAAGGTCCTGCAGAGTCCCTTGGACTCTTGTTTTCCGAGGCTTACTGAATTTGAACTGCTCTTCATACTCCTGCTGCTTCCTGTCTTTCTGTTCCTGTAGCCTTTCATATAGAGACCGAGGGTCATAAACCTCCTCTGGGCATTCTGAAAGAAAGAAGAGGGGAGAGAGGGAGAGAAGGCAGGCACAGTCATACTTTAGAATTTTCGTATTATTTTGGGATCACAAATGATTCTAAAGTCAAGTCTCCTGTGCATGATGTGAGGGCAAGGATAATACAAAATTAGTACAAAGCCCCCAGTTTCCCTCTGGACTTCACAGGGAGGTCAGAAGTTATCAAAGTCAATAATCAGTGCCAACATGGGCTGTTGCCCGAGCAGTTAATTGGATGAAGGGCCAGCCAAAACCTTCTACAAGATCAGCATTCTCAGTTGTATAGACACTGGGTCTTACACTGACAACCCACATAATCAACACACCTGCAGATGGAATCTCCTGGAAGGGAGTGTGGTAGAACAGAAGGGAAAAGGTATGAATGTTCTGGTTCTGCTCTCAGCAAAGGAAGCATTATATAGGTTACTTCACTCCTCTAAGTCTCCGTCCCTGATCTCTAAAGTGAGGATACTTCTATCTACTTGACAGGGTTGTTGTGAGGATTAATGATCACAATGTTAAATGTCAAACTCTAAGCCGATGTACCTTCTGGATCCTCAGGTTTTCGAACTTTTTCCCACTCTTCCTGCCTCCTTTTGCGCCGTTCATCCAGTTCGGCCTCAGACACAAATTTCTTTTTGATAACAAGGTTACCATCATCCCCTCCATCCATAATGGAACAACTTGTCTATAAAAAAAAAAAAAAATTTAAAAAAAATGAGGATTTCAAATCTAAAAAGAAATGAGATTTTACTCTGGGTCACCCAGCAAGAGACTACCTCAAAATTCTCTTCCAAATTGGAACAGAAGAAATTCTCAAACAGTTTAATTTCTAAGAGCTGGAGTTGTTGTTAAGTGTCACTGAGTCAGTTCCAACTCATAGCGACCCTGTATATGTTTCCAAAGCTGTAAATCTTTACAGGAACAGAAAAAGCCTTATCTTTCTCCCACAGAGCTGTCGGTAGGCTCAAACCTCCAGCCTTGGGATTAGCAGTCCAGTGTTTAGCCTACAGAGCCACCAGCACTCCACTGATAAGATGGATTGATATTTTTGTAAAAACACATTAGATAGTTTTATTAACAGCCATGTTATCCACAAAATCAGTTAGAGAGGAGCTGGAATCATTCTCATTACATGCTGTTCCATGGTGAAGGTCACAGGTATTTCTCTGGCCCTCTAATCCAGGCAAATGTGGCCTCCTGGATGCCCAGTCCTTCCCCAGCTCTCATCCTCCTTTATTTGGTAACACCTGACATTGTTCTTTCTGTAAATCCCTTTTTCAGGGACATTACATTTGCTCTTACTTCCAAGTAGATTCAAGATGACTCTGAGATCAAGTCGAGTCTATAAACAGGTAAGAGGCTCATCTAGAGGCACACTAGAAGAAACCAGGTCTCCCAACTTTCAGTTCAACGTCTTTGTTCATGATACCAAGATCACTCCTCCTTTCTCTCTTTCACCTTCCTCCCTGAAAACACCAAGTCTGTGCAGCTAAATATTCTACCTTCAATCCTTCTCCTCTCATTCTTGATGTAGAAGATTCCAAAATTCCAACTCTGTATACTTCTACCTGGAGTCCTGGTGTGGCGCTGTGGGTTAATACACCAGACTGCAAAGCCATTTGAACTGCAAGGTCCGGCGGTTCAAGCTCACCAGCTGCTCCTCAGAAATCCTATACAGAGTTGCTATGAGTCGGAACCACTCCACAGCACTTAACAATGACAACACCATGTGTTTTATGCATATTATTTCATTTACATGCATGTTAACTCTAGAAGAGATGTTATCACTTTAAAAATGGAGAAGTTGAGGCTTAGGTCAGTACCCAAAGTGATATGAGTAGTGGATGGTCAAGCAAGACTCAAAAGGCATAAACATCAGCATTCATACTTTCTTCACCACACCTCTTCCCTGGAAACCACTAAACCTTGGTTGAAAACAAGGACACATCAATTTCAGCTTCCTTTCTACACCAAATTCCACTGCTGAGAGTGTTCCTACAACATTTTTATTTAATCCAGAAATCGAACTCAGGAAATAAATAAAAATATTCAGACCAAGAGAATCATCTCAGCCTAAATCCTACGGTTGCTGAGGTCTAGTTAAATGTAACAACAATAAAACAGTTTTGTAAACTGCTTGGAAGAAAACTAAATTAACTGACAGAAACTGCTGCTACTAAAATCCTTAACCTAGAAACTTCCGATTTAGCATTGTTCAGTCTCTGCCAAAAATTCCTAAAGGCCTGCAGAAAAAGACCTCTTATGAAACATGAGCCAGAGACAATGTGAACTATATATGCGCAGCTCTGAGGGATGGAAAAGACACACTGGAGCCTCACTTCCCTTTCTTATTCTCTTAAGTGCTGTTAAGTCAGTTAGGACCCATAATGACCCTGTATAGGGTTTCCAAGGAGTAGCTGGTGAGCTTGAGCCCCGACCTTGTAGTCCAGCGCATTAACCCACAGTGCCACACCAGAACTCCCTTCAGCTCTCCTTTTTTACCCTACATTAGTAGTCTTTCCCTCACCCTTATTCCCAGACACCCCCGACCCTGAAGGTGGTCATCCAGCCTACATTTTAAAACATCAAAATAAACTGCTGCAATCTCTCCCCTGGCAGTTAACTCCTTTACGCTGATATGACTGTTAGGATAATTCTTAATTAAAATGAGCTGTATCTGTCTCCCCATAAATTCTACATGTGTTCAACCCAGTGGGACTGCAGAAAAGGAGTCAGCTCTCTTGTCCAAGAGGACAATGCCTCAGTTCTTTGAAGACAACCCCGGCGCTCCTTGTACTTTGTTGTGTTTCTGAGCCAAACACCCATAGCTCCTTTAATCTTACTAGATGGAGAAAAATAATAATGTCTCAGAGATTATATATGATTTAAACTCGGGAAATAAATATTGGGGAATGGCAATGCACCTGACGGGTCATTAAATGCCTCTCTTCACTCTCAAACTACATTAAAAGGTACAAACAATATATGGATACATAATACTGAAATTTTATCCCAATAAGCCAAAACAAAACCTAGACTTTTATATGTTTCCATTTAAATAAGAACACAGTGACTCTAAAATTTCTTCTTGTACTTCAAAATTAAGAATGCAAAATTTCTTCATTTTCATGGCTTCTTGAGAATTTGGTAAAAGAAAGTTCAACCTTTCATTTAACTTTAACAAAGATCCCTAATGTCCTAGGAATTTTCTTCTACAAATTCTCCAGGATTCACGTAAACAAGGTTTTGAATCTGAAATAGAAACAGTAGAGGAATAAGAATCTTCCCAACATTTTAAATTGAACAGAATTTCAAATTCTCATGGACTCCAGACTTTTTGGAGCCAGTTGAACCCTTGAAAACTGTTGTCCCGAAATTATCTTTATACCTTAAACCAAAATATTCCCTGAGGTCTTTCTTAAAGCCAAACTAACAGTTTAACTTAACTAATTTAAAAAATGTTTGCCTGGAGCATTATGTTCCAAAGTGACAAGAATACTTTGAGGGGACCCTTAGGGGCAGTGAGATCATGTTAATGGTGGAGGCAAAATTCAGAAAAGAAGGGTTGTTGCACAACTTGAATGTAATCAAAGTCACTGAATTGTACACATAGAAATGGCTGAATTCACGTATATTAAAGAAGAAGAGCCATCGTCCTCCCAATATTTACTCATCACTTTTGGAAAAATATAAATTTATGTGGTTCTAAGAAATTTTTATTCTCCTTTTTATCAATATTTTTCTATTAATCATTAATATTCAACAACCCAAAAGGGTTAGTCCTGATGTAGCACTGTAGGATAAGCAATGGACAGCAAAATCAGTTTGAACCACAAAGTTGGTGGTTCAAACTCACCAGCTGCTTCTCAGAAACCCTATATAAGGGTCACTATGAGTTGGAACCAACTAGACAGCACTTAACAACAACACTGTTGTCTTTGACAAACACAACAAAAGGAATAATCATAGTTGGTTAATGAAAATATGCAGAATCACATTAAAAAAAGAAATTTAAAAGCAATGGCTTTAGAATCTGAAAGAAAATCAAGAAGCAGGAATTAAAAAAAGGAAATCTTATCAGTATTAGAGGAAGATTCATTACAACCTGCAATATACAAATGACACAACTAAAAGTTAAAGTACTTAAGATCAAATGAAGATCAAAGACTACAGCCTTCAGTATGGATTACATCTCAAGATAAAGAAAACAAAAAATAAAATCTTTACAACTGCACCATAAGCAACATGTTAAATGGAGGAAAGACTGAAGTGGCTAAGGATTTCATTTCACTTGGACCCAATGCTGTTGGAAACAGCAGTCAAGAAATCAAATGACATATTGAATTGGGCAAATCTGCTGCAAAAGGCAGCTTTTAAAGTGTTATGGAATGCAAGAAATGATGAAGTAAAGAGCTGAACAGGAAATTTCAGAGGACAGCTCGAGAAGACAAAGCAAGGTATTATAATGAAATGTGCAAAGACCTGGAGTCAGAAAACCAAGAGAGAAGAACATGGTTGGCATTTCTGATGTTGAAAGAACTGAAGACAAAAAACCACGCCTCAGCTTGCAATACCGAAAGGATTCCATAAGCAAAATAAGGAATAATGCAGAAAGCATCAAAAGAAAATTAAAGGAATACACAGTCACTGTACCAAAAAGAATTGGTTGATGTTCAACTACTTTGTTGTTGTTGTTGTTAAGTGCTGTCGAGTCGGTTCCAACCCATAGGGACCCTGTACAGGGTTTCCGAGGGTGTAAATCTTTACGGGAGTAGAAAGCCTCATCTTTCTCCCATGGAGCAGCTGGTAGTTTCGAACCGCTGACCTTAAGATTCGCAGCCCGATTCGTAACCACTACGCTACCAGAGCTCCTTTAGGGTAGCATATAATCAAGAACTGATGGCACTGAAGAAGTCTAAACTGCACTGAAGGCATTAGCTAAAAACAAGGCTCCAGGAATTGACAGAATACCAGTTGAAATGTTTCAGTACTCCGGTGCAGAGCTGGAAGCACTCCCTAGGCTATGTCAAGAAATTTGGAAGACAGCTATCTGACCAAGTAACTGGAAGAGATCCATATCTGTGCCTATTCCAAAGTAAGGTAACACTACAGAATGTGGAAACCACCAACCAATATCATTAATATCACACATAAGTAAAATTTTGAAGATAATTTTTAAAACATTTGTAGCAGTTAATTGACACAGAGCTGCCAGAAATTCCAGTTGGATTCAGAAGAGGACATGGAACTACGGATATCATTGCTGTCAAATGGACCTTGGTTGAAAACAGCAAATAAAAGAAAGATGTTTACTTGTGTTTTATTGATTATGCAAAGGTATGAGTGTGTGAAACATAACAAACTATGAATAGCATATAGAAGTATGGGACCTCTAGAAACCTTAACTGAGCTCATGTGAAACCTGTACATAGATCAAGAGACAGTCACTCGAACAGAACAAGGGGACACTGCGTAGTTTAAAATCAGGAAAGGATATAATCAGATCTGTATTCTTGTGTCATACTTATTCAATCTGTAAGCTAAACAAATTATCCAAGAAGCTGGACTATATGAAGAATACAAGCATCATGAACAAGCTGCATATGCTGAAAATGAAGAAGATTTGAAGCACTTACTGATGAATATCCAAGAATACAGCCTTCAGTATGCATTA